CGCTCTCATAGCCGGACTCCGAAACTCTCACAGGAATGAGAAGAAACCTGTGCAGAGCAGTGGGACATATATAGGCTGTAACTTTAACTTTTTTAACAAAGCCCGATGGAACGTTAATTTGACACGACTGAAGAGAGATTAGGTGCAGGACCAACGGCTGTACGTGAGTGTAACACTGCCACCGTCCTGACTCTGGGATGCTCAGGAGAATTTCTTACAGAAAATAAATCAATATTTGATTTTGGCCCGACCCGGGATACGTTGTTTTGTTTTTGTTTTTAGTCGTTTAACTAGCTTAAAATACGTGTGCAAGGACGTAGGATGCAAGGATTTATAGTTTAACGATGTATAAAAAATTGATTCTAATTTTTTTTCTCTTATATTAATGTAAGTATTTAATATATTAAGTTATTCTACGCTTACGGTGTTATGTTTAATGTTCAGTTATGCATGAAAAGCAAAACTGTTGTTATAAAACTTCACAGTACATAAAGTGGAATTCTCTCTGTGTCGTGTCGCAACTTACGCGAGCCGGTTGATGATTAGTAATTTATAAACTTAAGACACGAAGAGTTCTTGTTAAGATTATAAGATGAAGTTTTAAAGTAAAAAAATTGATGTATTTTTAAAATAGCTAAGCTTATTACTTGTAACTACAGACTAACAAAAAATTGGTGTATGTTTATAACCACATGATAGAAATAAAAACTTATCTTTAAATAAAAATTACGTGTCACATTGTTTATCCGCGATAAACTCCTAAACTATTGAACTGATTTCAATGAAATTTTGAAATTTGTTTTGCACAATGTGTGCAGTTTGGTCCAACTTGAGTGATAGGATAATTTTTATCTCGATAAATGACCCTCAGTATTTTTATATTGCGATTTTTTTATGGGAAGGTTCGTCGCAAAGGGCAGAACAACGTCTGCCTGGCCAGCAAGTATAATAATAAAACGTAATTATTGGAAGGATGCACTCATTGCAATTATTAGAATGGAGCATTCATCGAGCCGAGCCTGACAGTTCACTTTCATTCAATGTTTTCAATTCATAAAGCATCGCAAAGATGAATCGCATACGAAACACTGTAGCATTGAACTGCAATTTTACGCTGGTATTTTGTGAGAGCGTGATCTTACCCCGGTCGAAACAACCTATTCGTGCTACAAATATTATACAGCTGCAGCGTGGCTCGAGATATGGAATGATTTGCTTTAAAGGCCCCTCAACGCCACAGACATGTATCTTCTTCTAATTATCACAACCACTTATTAAAAATAAATATATCTTATTTATCAGTCCGTCAAAGTCAACTGTCGGGCTTAAAAGTCACGCTTGGTGGGTGGTTTGATAATCGTAGTACAAGGCATCGCATACCTTTGAAGCTGCCGCCCGTCGCCAGTCGTGTGACCTTGTTACGTTTGGATTAACTTTTTTACGTGGTAGAGCCATGCTGCAGCTACATTAATAGTATAGTTTTAGCACGAATGGGTCGGCGCGACCGGGGAAGTACCACGCTCTCACAGAATACCAGCGTAATATAGCAGCTTAATGCTGCTGTGTTTCGTATGGTGAGTGTAGAGAATCGGAGACCCATTTTACTGGAAAAGAGGCATTCTGTCTTAGTACTCACGACTGACAACGCAAACAAAGATATATGTAGATGTATATGGGCCACAGCAACCATTTACCATCAGGTCTGTCATCTGGACTGTGTGCTCGTTTGTCATCCTTATTCTATAAAATAAATTAAACGAGATGGTTATACCATAGACATTTATCGAAAGCCAAAAGGTTTTTCTAGATTTTTACATAATTGTCTCTTACAACACCTACGTTACTAAATAGGATGGATAATTATAGAATGCCACCCTGACCAAATCCCAACCGTGTAGTGGCGATGTTAGAATATCCACTATCGCATACCGTCACGAGAGCTGGTGGTAGCTCAGATGGTTAGCGGTCGCTGTAAAATTCACAGTACGCGAGCAACCCGGGTTCGATCCCCGCCGGCACCAATGAAATCGTTAATTGCAATTTTAAGTGCTGATTTACTACGTGCCCGGCGGTGAAGGAAAACATCGTGAGAAAACCTGCATGTCTGAGAAATAAGAAAAAAAAATCGAAGACATGTGAAGTTCGCCAACACGCATTGGGGCAGTGTGGCGGACGTTTCCTTGCCCTAAAACCTCTCAGAAATGACGCCACAGAAAGAAACTAAAACAGGACATAGGCAGCAGCATTCTCCTGAGAAAAATTTAAAAAAAATGCAGTTGTCAAGTGCAAGATCGGATTGTAGAAACCTAGTGTCTGCGCAAGCACAAGTGCACTCTCTATTACCTCACTCTCATGTCCAATGAACGTGAATCTGACATGATGTGGTATTTTATAAAGCAATATCTCTTTGTTGCTTAGTGCATGGATTACCTGACTTTGAAGTTCTATGGTGTAACTTATAATGGTACATAAGTTATTATAAGTTGTTTTGTTTTAAGCAACAGTAGCCTAAAGACAGGGAGTTGACCGTGTTTTAAAGGGTTGTGGGTTCGAATCCACACATCGACTACTGTCGTGAATCACTTCTAACACAAGCATTTTAAGCTTTCCAGAAGTGGTTAGAGGGAATATTTGTAATGTTAATAGCATTGCTGGTATTTTATTTTTATAAAAAAGTTTTTGCTCTGTATAAGTTGCTAATAGAGCATGATTATGAAAATAATAATTAGCATAATCAGCCATTATTAAGTTTGAATTATTATTATATATACCAAAGTTAATTTGCTAAAATTCGCAGGCAGAATTAAAACGACGTGTGCGTGATTTGAAGGATAGCGTTCTTCCTTTTACATTAACGTATGCGGGGTTTTTACTTACACTATTTAAAATACTTCGTATATAGCAGTCTGACTAATGATGTAGCGGACTTAATGGAAAAAAGATTGTGTAATATTCTCTTCCGTTCTTTGTGCTGATGTGTACAGTGTGCCTGCAGTTCCGAGTTTGAGCCTCAGTAAGTATAATCACCATTCCTGAAGAAGTACGTTAAAAAGGAGAATTCATTTTTAACGTTGTAGAGCCATGCTACAGCTATATTAGTAGTGTAGTTGTAGCACGAATGGGTCGGCTCGACCGGGGAAGAACCACGCTCTCACAGAATACCAGCGTAAAATAGCAGCAATAGTATCCCACCTTAGTCCTCACGGGTGTCTACGCATCTGCATTCTGATTATTTATTGAGGATCGATGTAGATGTCAATGGGGCATAGGAACCACTTACCATCAGGTGGACTGTGTGCTCGTTTGTCACCTTATTAAAAAGCCGTTAATTTTTTATTTATAAGAAACTTTCTTGAGTGGCACCCTCGTACTGGTAAGCAAAGTGTAGGACTGCACTCCAATAGATGGGGTGACAACCTCGGCTATGAACCCTTTTTTTTCTTCACTGGCAGACTGTAATAATGATAAAGATAATGATTATGATGTAACTACGAATTAATAATGCGTTAGTTGTTATTACATATATTTATAATTAAACATGTATAAAGTATTACAAAATTAATAATAAATATCTATTTTAATTTTAATGTATGAGTAAACACAACTGCACCGACGAAGCGGCGTAGCTGCGTAGTGGCGTAGCAGCGTAGCTATGTATCTCTAAAGTTCTCGCTACGCCGTAATACCTACTATAACTACACCGTTCACTCCAAAACAGCAATAGGTATTATGAAAACTGTACTGTACAGTACGATTCACTTTTGTTTATCTGCATTTTGTTTATTATAAAATTTATTATTAAATATTGGAAATTATTAATAATAATTATTATAATTAATTTAGAAAAAAGATTTGAATGAAATAATAAAAAATATTTATAAAAAATAGACGTAAATATTATTATAGACATTTAAAATAACAAAAAAGAAAATATGCTCATCTTATTCTAAACTAAACTAAATATGTTGTTATTTTCCTCATGATACTTGTATAATGTAATATCATATTCACCCAAAAAAAAGTTCGAGGCATGTAGACATATTAGAGCGGAGTATTTTAACTGAATATCGAAGTTTGCCTAAGAGAATATTCATGCAAATTATGTGGTTGTATGGTTATACTCATGACATGAACGAAGCAGACAGTAAGATGTTCAGAGTATTTTAGAAAACCATTATTTTCAAAACAGATACGATAAATCATTTATTTTGATTTTGTCACAGTGGTGTGTCTTTCCTACTGTAGTGGTGTTGGGAGTAGTGTTGCTGGGATTAGTGGTGACTGGGATAGTGCACGCAATTGAGGGAGGGTGGGTGGTGCTCTTTAAACTAGGTAAGACACTTCATTTTATTTTATCGAGCGGATATACGCGAGGTAATTTTTACCAACTTTAATACAATTAAAATTATATAAAAACGTGTTTGTTTTACAAGAATATATATTTAATAATTATTTTGATGAACTCGGGGCCATTTCTTTTTCTACTAGGCTCATGGTGCGAACTAAGGGGGTGGTAGATTTTACGCCGCTACCATACGGCGAGGAGCCGAGTCTGTCGTTTCGGCTTTGTCGCTCGTTTAGCACCACCCGGGGGACACGTGTAGGGTGGGCCTAGGATCAGGTGGTCGAAGCCTACGGACGCGAGCGACTCATCCCCCTTTTATACTTATCTTGTTTAGACTGAAATGATTATGATGGTACGAAAGGTGCTTAACCTTAGCACTAACTTAGTAATAATTAAATGTAGTTAAGCATTATAAGCAGAAATAATTCATTCCACTTTAAACAGTATGTCATAATTTGACAATAAAGAATTCTTAGAAAAAGAACTAAATTCTCAGACTATAAAAATAAACTTATCTTCTTTATATTAATTCTAACTCATGTCCTATCACTAAGTAGTTAATAATCATGCCTATGTATTAGCTTGCAATGACTATGTTTTATCAATGCTAAAAGGAATACTCTACATTTTTCAAGAATTATTAAGTAATTGAAAACTAGAATGTATCTACCATAGTAAGATTTTTCTTAGCTTTTGTCGTACGACAACTGTTTACTTTAGTGGCAAATCTTAAAGAGTTTAAAGTCTCATTGAAACACTCATCAAATTGGTTGATATTGACCAACATAAGAGTTTTAGAATTGCCACCAAGACTAGGCATCAACAGGTGGGTTAATTTAGAATTTCTATATGGTATGTGAGATTGATTTGTCTGCAGTGAAAGGATAACTTTGGAGAGTTCAGATAAAGATCTATTAATATGTTTAGTTTCATCCATTCTTTGTGTTGTTTTACCTCTCTGATCCTGCTAAATCCACCAAGTTTAAATTACTGGTGAACTTTTCCTTGCGCTTCTCATTAATTGCTGCTATCTTAATTTGTGCCACAGAATGGGACCTGGAGCTTCGTTCATTGTTTAATGTTGCGGCAGTTTGTCTATTACGTTGGGCAAATATCAATAACCTGATGAAGTCATGAGAGCTTTTCACTTCTTCTTCTCTTAAATTTGACACATAAACATCATTTCCTTTTGAATTCACCATTTTTATATCATGACTTTCTTGATCTTTGTTTGAGTCCAGCAAATCATATATGACTTCATTGTAAATTTCTAAAAATGTTGCTTTTATAGTTAATTCCCAGCCCATTCTTTTCAAGTCTTCCATGCAGTTAAATATCATGTCAATTGAACGTGGTACAATACCATAATTCTCTTTACCACAACCTCCTTCCATTGTATATGTTTTACCAGAACCTGTTTGACCATATGCAAAGATACAAACATTATACCCATCTAAAGCTGACTGTACCATAGATGACACTTCGGCAAAAACATCTTCTTGTGAAGAATGTGGTGTAAAAATGCCATCAAATGTGAAAGAATGTTGTGATTTACCTTTTCTGGCAGAACTCAACAATTCAATCTTTTCAACCTCTATGGAACACGCATCTAACACATTTAAGTTGAACAAAGGCTTTGATGCCTCTGACTCAAGCGGAGGCCTAACCCTACAGTAAACTCGTATATTCCCTTTCAAATCCTGAACTGTATTCCTCAAGTCCCTTTGGTCTTTATACATACCAGCCAATATATTTTGTAATGCCTCATACTCACTTTTATATTTAGTTATACCTTCTTGTGCTTCTTTATAGTCAAGCCGTAGTTTATCATATTCAATTGACACTTTTTTCAAATGTTCTGAAAGCAACCTTAGGGCTTCTGCCTCTTCTTGCAGGCTTTTATGACGCCTAGACAAATCATCAAACTCAGACTGGATCTTGTCCAAATCCAATGACTTTTGCTTTAGGCTACTCGTAACCTCGTCTAATACTTTGGTTTTACGTTGAAGTTCTTCATTTTCATGCTTTGTTAATTCAAAATCTATTTTCAGACTTTGAAGTTCTGAAGTCTTCTCTTTAAAATCTTTATGAACATTTAGTAATTTTTCCTTTAAAATGTCTTTCTCGGTAGCACTAGTCTGGACCGTTTCTTTGATTTTTTCATAGTCATCAGATATTTCAACATGTCTGTCTTTCAAATCATTAAATTCTGATTTAATTGCTTTATGTTTTTCAAGTAAGTCATTAAATCTTGCTTTGTAGTCATAAGGTGGAATCTTTGGAGCTACACTCCCAGGCTTTTTGTCGATTTTAGCAGATTTTTCAGGCACTATTGTGGCTGAAGGAGCTGTGGCAGCTCTTTTTAAACGTGGTGCGGGTACTGTTGTGACTGCCCCACTTCGCAGGGGCCTTGTGTGATTTAAAAGAAGACTCTTTTTGTCAGCATCACTAAGTCCATTAGCTAATGTCCTAGAAAAAGGTCTACTATTTAAAGGACCAGGCCTATTTTCTTTTGTAGTGGTAGGTAATTTAGGAATTTTTGACATCTTAAATTTCAATAAGACACAACATTTACACAAAACACTAACAATCACAACGTTTGTCAAATGTAATAAGTGTAATAAGAGAAAAGTGTGGTTTGCAAGATGACGTTGTGACAAGGATTAAGAAAGGAATGCTTCGGTGGTTTGGTCACGTAGAAAGAATGAACGAGGAAAGAGTGACAAAGCAAATTTATGTTGCAGAAGTGAACGGCAGGGTCGGGAAGGGACGCCCTAGACGAAGGTTTATCGACCAGATCGGCGATACATTGAAAATGGGCCAGATTAGGAGTACCCTTAACCGACGAGCGTGTATGCGTAGATATATGGATGTGAAAGAGGCGAGAGAGGTGTGTCAGGATCGCGCCAAATGGAAGTCCGTAGTCTCTGCCTACCCCTCTGGGTGACAGGCGTGAGTGTTTATGAATGGTATGTATTTGATGACAAAAACGCTTGGAATTTTATTAATCGATTTTCGTATTAATTTTTGTAAAACACTATTTTGTATTCTATATATATTCACTATGTAGCACTTTAAGAACATGTTGTAAAATGGAATTATTTATTATTTATAGTATAAAGTAACATCTCAGTGTATAGTAGAGTCGGGTATGTCGAGCTCTGATAAAGGTTTTTGCTTACCGCGTCATCGCGTGACGGGTCTTCCACTTCGACAGCGAGGAGGGTGATTGCTGCCACATGTGACATACTTGTAAATAGATGCTGCCTTTAGGAACAGGTCTTGTCAGGCTTGGAACTCATTCACATCAATTCTTTTTTGTGTTTTGTTGTGTAATTTAATTAAAGAATATGCTTTGATTACCTATGGGTCCATTCATTTGCAATATATTGTAGATTAATAATAATAATTAATAATATATATTAATAATTAATAATATGATACGATGCTCTTTGAAAAAATTAAAAAGACCATGCGTACGGGGTTTTATGGATAGAGAAATCTCATGTTGAAACGATAGTAGATTAAAAACATGTTGATGTTTGACAAACGAAATTTTAAACTCTTTTGTTAAAAATATAGAGTTTCCATTTCATTTTATTTGATTCCAAACAAACACATTCAACGAAGCGGAATAAAGTTAGTTGAATTTCGATTCGTAAAATTGTTTACTGTTTGGTACCGTTTACGAGTATATTCAATATACCGTAGTGCTATGAAATCGGTTTAACTAGTTTGTATTTTTTAAATAAAACTGAAGTTGCAAATGATCAGCCACCTAATGGTAAGTAATTAATGCAGCCTATGTTTATCACCTTTGAGGACTAATATTGAATGCCTTACAGCCTGTTACTATACTGGCTCTTAATATCTTTCAGACTGGAAGACGAGCATACAGCAGGCAAGCACTGCCATTTAATGGCAGAAATATGTAACTTTGTGGTACCTACACAGACGAACTCAAACTATGGAGAATTTTTTTTATCGGCCATGCACTGGAGTCGTCAGAAGCAGCGTGAGGGAATCCACTACACCGTATCATGCTATGGGTGTCATAAGAGGCGACAGAAGGAAACTTAAACAGGAGATCAGGCCGCTGCATCTTCTTGGTAATAATTCAATAATAATTATAAAATGCTGAACAAATTAATGGAGAACATAGGCCTGCACATGGTTTATGCAATGAACTTATCATAAATAAAAAAAAGCTTTGCTTGAATAATGAAATTTAATTCTATAAATCCAACTGTATATATTTTTCATCAACTCTCCTTTATTAATATCTAAACTTTAATTAAAGCAGGAAACTTAGTGACAGTATTGACTTAATAAAGTCTTTATGATTTAAAAACGTCGAAGAATGTACTCGACGGCAGGCGGCGTCAATTAAATGACTTGCAACGAAGTTGTTCAGAAACATTTAACGAGCTTAGCTTTAGAAACTCAAATGTTTGCTTTCGAAATTTTTAATGAAGATTTTTACGAGAAAAAAAGCTGAATTTATTTTTACATTACTATTAATATTGCTGTAATGATGATGATATTGCAGTTTTGTATTAGATAAAAAAGAAAACACTTATTATAATATTATTTATGATTAGGCTATTTTCTATAATAACTTTTAAATGACCTCACACGCTGCTATTATATATTTTTAAACCCAGACATAATACGATACTAAGCTATATTGATAGGTAGGAAACATATATCAAGTTATTTTACGATATGTTTTGATATATTGCTACATGGTATTGCGATTCAGAATGATTTATCTTTGCTGGTACTCAAGCAGTACTATTTCACATTATTGTTTATTATATCGTCTTTTTGACTGCATATCATGTGGGGCCAAAATCCGTTACTGGGTTTTTCTGTCAATTAGGAAGAATCACGAAATCAGTCAGGAAGGTTGTCAGGAAATTCTACTTTCATGTTTTGGAAATTACATAAAGCCGTTATTCATGCGCCTGATCGATTTCTGGTCATGTGGGATTGCCGTCCCATCGGATTTTAAGAGTGAACTCATTCTGTCTTAACCCAATGCTGGTTCGCAGACGGCTAGTCTCAACGAAGACCGTGAATGTAATTTAATGATCAATCTATAAAGCGCTTTAAATGCCACCTGCGACATTATTAAATTATTATCATCATCATCACAGCCACTATATGAAAAGTCCACTTTTCTCATAGAATGCCACAAAGCACGGCCCTGGGCCATCTGCATCCATGCCGTTCCTGCATCTCTTTCCAAGTCGTAACTCCATCTAGTGGGCGCCGCCCTGCATTTCGAACAGAAGTCCTACCACCTAGTCAGTGAGTAAAAAATGGCGGTCAATGAACATTCCACATGTCAATTAAGTTCAGAATGCAAATTCTGAACTGATTTTAATTTATAGGCTATATCTAAAGGTTAGTACCAATGTTTCGACTTGCTGCGATAGTGTAGTTGTTATCCTTGTCTACACAAAATAAGGATCAAAAAATGAAATTAAAAAAAGGGACAACCGACATCAAAATATTAAAATGGATACAATGGTACCAGAGATTAAAACTTAAAAGTTAAAGGTAGTCTTCGTTGACTATGACATCAGGACATCAAACATCTCAAACTCCGTGCGCCATTGCTATGAAAATTCGAGATTTAAAAATATTTTAAACGTTACAAGATGCGTAAACTGAGTCTTAACTGACATTATAATTAAAATAGTAACATTAATGGGACACGAAACATAATTTAATGTAACATAAAGGAAAGGTGTCTTAACTGCGTACACTTACTAGATCATTATTGAATTGATGTGAATGTAAATGGGACTCCCCGCCATTGGACGGCACGTACTTGATCACGCCACTGCGCCGGTGAGAACACGTTGTGCTCGAGCGAGGGCTCTCTTAGCCTTTGTCTGCACTTTGTAAAAAAGTGGTCCCATTAAGAGACTTAAGGAACCACGTTATCAGATTTTAGTGTTGTCACTTATAGGTGGCATAATTTATTGGGAAGGCATTGAAAAGTAACAATCAAATAATATTACGTAAAATAGCTGTAATTAAGTTATTAGTAAAAATAACTGAATAAATGGAATGTCTCCCTGCCTGTAACTACACTGGCTCTATATCCTTCATACCGGAACACAGCAGTGCACGCACAGCTATTTGGTGGCAGTAATAGGTAAGAGAACTAAGATGTAATGTCTCCCTGCCTGTAATTACACTGGATCTATATCCTTCATACCGGAACACAGCAGGGCACGCAAAGCTCTTTGGTGGCAGTAGCAGGTAAGAGGACTAAGATGGAATGTCTCCCTGCCTGTAATTACACTGGCTCTATATCCTTCATACCGGAACATAGCAGTGCATGCACAGCTATTTGGTGGCAGTAATAGGTAAGAGGACTAAGATGGAATGTCTCCCTGCCTGTAACTACACTGGCTCTATATCCTTCATACCGGAACACAGCAGTGCACGCACAGCTACTTGATGGCAGTAATAGGTAAGAGAACTAAGATGTAATGTCTCCCTGCCTGTAATTACACTGGATCTATATCCTTCATACCGGAACACAGCAGGGCACGCAAAGCTATTTGGTGGCAGTAGCAGGTAAGAGGACTAAGATGGAATGTCTCCCTGCCTGTAATTACACTGGCTCTATATCCTTCATACCGGAACATAGCAGTGCATGCACAGCTATTTGGTGGCAGTAATAGGTAAGAGGACTAAGATGTAATGTCTCCCTGCCTGTAATTACACTGGATCTATATCCTTCATACCGGAACACAGCAGGGCACGCAAAGCTATTTGGTGGCAGTAGCAGGTAAGAGGACTAAGATGGAATGTCTCACTGCCTGTAATTACACTGGCTCTATATCCTTCATACCGGAACATAGCAGTGCATGCACAGCTATTTGGTGGCAGTAATAGGTAAGAGGACTAAGATGGAATGTCTCCCTGCCTGTAATTACACTGGTTCTATATCCTTCATACCGGAACACAGCAGTGCACGCACAGCTATTTAGTGGCAGTAATAGGTAAGAGGACTAAGATGGAATGTCTCCCTGCCTGTAACTACACTGGCTCTATATCCTTCATACCGGAACATAGCAGTGCATGCACAGCTATTTGGTGGCAGTAATAGGTAAGAGGACTAAGATGGAATGTCTCCCTGCCTGTAATTACACTGGTTCTATATCCTTCATACCGGAACACAGCAGTGCACGCACATCTATTTAGTGGCAGTAGCAGGTAAGAGGACTAAGATGTAATGTCTCCCTGCCTGTAATTACACTGGCTCTGTATCCTTCATACCGGAACACAGCAGTGCAGGCACAGCTATTTGGTGGCAGTAGCAGGTAAGAGGTTGTTACCTACCCCAACTTTCTCCTAGGCGGAAATTGAGTTCTACCTCCTAAAATATCAACGTTAACAAAATAAATCAATTTTAGTAAAACGGAAGGAAGGTAGCAATTATTCGATGCAAATAAAGTGGCCTTACTCACTGTCGTACAAACAATTTATTCGAGGTGAAAATTCCAACGCTGGTGATAAAAAC